AGCATATTTCGAGGCAACTGAAATAGAGGATAAATAATTACTTCCAGTGCCAAGCACAAGGCCGGAAGGGGTGTTTGGCGTCGGACCAGCAGCAGGAGAGGAGAAAGAGGATATGAGAGCATCTTTGCCCAAAAAGTTGACACGCTTGGCACGCACTCGCGCTCTTCGTTCAACACGGTGTCGACTGGGTACGATGCCAAGAGGGCCCAAACATATGGAAGAAGGCTCATGTGAAGCCAGAGATGCGGTAGAAGAATGCAGACTGGACAAGCTGGGTCGGCTAGTCCCAAGGCTTCCGTTAAGCTGAAATAAGTAAAAAAACAAACGTGTCAAAGCGCTAATAATGTCTTTCAGTACAAATAAAAGCCTACGAGGCAATGAAGCCACAGGACAGTAAAGCAGAGAATACAATCCAAGTCAGAACTAAGGAAATTTTTCGGTTTCTAGCGGAACTAGTTTGCGAATCCCTTGAAGCCAACTTTTCCAACTTTTTCGAAAATAGAAGACGTGACATAAATAATTAGATAAGGATTGTAAGCAAGGTATTGAAAAATAATCTCCGTTAACTTGACTATTACATTAGTAAAGTAAAAGTAATTTCAATGAAAATAAACTGGCAGCATTGTTATCTCGCCTTAAAACATACAAGCAAATTAGGCATTTTTTGCTTTAGTTATGTACCAAGACGTTATAAATTACCCAACATGTGGTCCTAAATTTTCATGAAGCCTATCTTGTCCCCCTTACAATGTTATCTCAGGAGATTCATTGAAACCCAGTTTCTCCTCACATACTATTTTAACTAATTTAAACATTGCCTATTTTTCCTTTAAAAGTAGTTTTGAGGCTACATCTCATATGACTATTTACCAAGCCCCTTATTTTATTTAGAAAGATATACAGTATCCCAAGTAAACCAATGAAGAAGGGACACTAAGGAATCTGGATAGTGCAACGTAGTCTCGGCATGTAATATAGTTGATTGTAATAACAAAGACAACTTTACTTCATAAC